GGGCCTGGGAGAGTAAGTGTCTCTACCCAGCTGGGCCCTGGAGAGTGGTGTCTACCTCAGCCGTGACCAGGGGAGTAGGCGTTTCTACCCAGCTGGGCCCGGGAGAGTGGGTGCCTCTTCAGGGCTGGCGGCCTGTGGCTGTCCCTCTTGAGCTCACTGCGACCTCCAGCTTCGTAGCGGGGGCTGCCCTGCCTCCTCCTCACACTTGTTCGGAACGTCCGCACTGGCTGGCAGGCTCTGTTCCGCCCGCCTCTAGCTAGCAAGTTGCTATGCAGGTTTCCGTGTCTGTCCTGTATTTCTGAGATCCCTTTCCTGAGGCTTGGGGGTCCCTTGGAGCATGAAAGTGAACTCTTAGCCCTTAATTGCCGGCTGGAGCGTGTGCTGTTTACACAGGCTTTTGCTCGGTTCTGGTCTCACGCCCCTTCCCACAGCACAGACTCCATGTTCGAGAAGACAGAGCCCCACGTGCCCTGGTCCCAGTGTCCCCGTGGTGAGTGGCACAGTCATCACCAAGTGCTCACAACTCGGGGGACGCCACTCGTGGTCACTCTGCACTGGAGGACTCCCTGCTGGCAAGGGTCTTCGGTGGGGCCCGGGGGCGGTTTTCCAGCTCGTAAGCAGAGCACGCCTGTAGGGACGGCCACCCCTGTGGGGAGGGCTGCCTTGTGCCGGCACGTTGCCCACAGGCCCCTCGCTGGCCCAGCGTCACCCTTGGCAGGAGGGCAAGTGTGCCTCGACGGGTCCGCAGCTAGAGCTGCCCCCGAGCTGCCCGGGGAGAGTCCAGGCTGGCTGGTCGGCAGCACCCCGGATGGCAGTTTCTGTATTGAACTTGGACTCTCCGTCCTCAGTGTCTCACAGCAGGGAACCGAAGCACACGAGCTGAGCTGTGCGCTCACCGTGGGCGCCTGACCACCACCTGGGGCCCAGAGGGTGTGTGGGCCCAGTCCGGCCTGGAGCAAGCCTCCCAGCCAGCGAGGGACGAGGGACGTGCGTGGCACCTGGAAAACCACTGTGACCTCTTCTTACCCCTAGATGGCCTCGTGGGGCCTGGAGCCCCCTCCTGTCTGTCCCCAGGCCTGCGTCTGGTACTTCAGCAGACAACCCTGGGGGACAATTAAGCCTCTTCTCTGAGCACCTTGGGATCTGTCACCCTAACCGGAACTGTAACTGACCCTAACTCAACCCTAACTGAACTTAACCCTGACCTTACCTAACCTGAACCTAATTCTAACCTAACCTCATCTAACCCAACCCAACCCAACCCAAAGCCACTATGAGTTTCTGCTCCCCTACGGGCCCCGAGGAACCTGGGACTAGTCGAGCCTCCTGGGGTCCCAGAATGAGGAATCAAAGGGGGAGTAGCCGTGGGGGGGTGGCTGTGGGTGGTGGCTGTAGTGAGGGGGGAGTGGCCGTGGGTGGTGGTGGTGGGGGGGAGTGGCCGTGGGTGGTGCCTGTAGTGAGAGGGGAATGAATGGTCGT